GGGGGAGAGGGGACTTGTGACCCGATGGGTACGTGATCTCGGTAACAAAGATTAACGACACTGAGGACACGTTTCTTCATCTCGGAGTATTTCGAAAATGTCCCATCAACTGCCCCCCAGCCTTCGATCTTCTGACACCGAGGACATACGTCGTAAGGAGACGAAGGGTTTTACAACAACTCGAACTGCTTCATCATTGCTTCTAGCCGCTTTCCCCTGCTTAGGACGTCGTGCGCATTAAATGCGCCTTTTCGTGCTTCGCGCCCAATGATGGGATAGGTGCTATATATAAATGGGCTTCATCTCTTCTTTTCTCATTTTATTGTTCTAAACTTTTCTTCACAGAGCCCTTGCCGGAGACTTCGCCGGAGATCCCTTTCCTTTTGTTGTTAACTGTCCAACCATTTCACCGGAGTTTTTAGGCCAGCAGACTCATCCTTGCTTCTGAAACATTTTGGAAGGAGTCACTTCAAATTTCCCAGAAAAAACTTCTTTTTACATTCTGGTGAGTCCCAGTATCTTTCCTTTCTTTGTCCTTCTGTCCCTTTTGGGATTTCGATAACTGGAGGTGTCTCGATTACCACTTAGCGACCAATCCTCGGGAAGCTTCCTTGGGGACCTTTAAGGAAAAAAACATCCTCCACTTTTTCTCACTTTCTTCGAGATGCCTCGTCATCGCCCTGCCCTCGAGAATCCTCAGGCCAGCTCTTCGGGGTCAGGGAAATATAAAGTAAATGGTAGTGAGCAAATTAATAGGTTTAAGGTCAAGTACAGTATCCCACAATATGTAGACATAGAGGATTATAACCCGGCTATGTACCCACGTGCCCTTGGTACCGAGGGTGCAATGCTCTTTTATACCAAAGCCATCATAGAAGGCGGAATTAGATTCTCTTTGCCCCATCTACTTCTCCAGTTCCTCTCTCATTTCCACCTCTTCCCCGGGCAGTGTTGCCTTAATGTCTTTAGGATAATTATGGGGGTCCTAGAGCTTAATAGGCGTCTCGGGGTGATTGTTGGACTGAATGATATCCTTTTTTGCTATTCCCTCTTGAGAGTCATGCCTCAACAACACTTCTACCTCAAAGCCAGAGACCCATCTATGTACCTCGTAACTCACCTTCCCGACTCGGACAAGGGGTACAAGGATGACATACTTAATTTCAAGGGATCTTGACAGAGAGGTGTCGGTCCCGAGTATAACGGCTTGTTATGCCCTTTGGAATGGAGAACGACAAGTACGTCG